ACTCACGAACACGCATTTAACATTCACACTGCAACCGGACCTCCTCAAACTTACCTTGATCACACCCTACTCACTCAAAATCTCTCTCAGACCGATTGGGGACCAGTCCAAAGCTGTCTAGATGGCAATCTGTGCTCCGAACTCTTTTACAAAAACCTTGAATTTGCGATAAAAAATTCAATAAATCCAATAACTACAAGATCATCTATACGTAAGAGAATTAAACCGTGGATTAAGGACAGTTTGGTCAAATCAATATGTACTAGAGACAAATTAAGTAAAGCTGCACACCGTCAACCATTTAATGATAATCTACAAACTTATTACCGGAATTATAGACAAAACCTAAGCAGTGTATTAAAAAGGGCCAAAAGAGACTTTTACAGGGAAAGACTCAACCAGTACAGTCAAAATTCCAAATTATTTTGGGGACTGAGCAATGATCTTGCTGGCAGGTCATGTAATAAAAACTCATTTCCAATTGAAAAGTTAATTCCTAACACGTCTGATCATACACAAGCCACAAAAATGTGATTGCAGATGATTTTAATTTCTTTGCTCCTGTTGGAGAAAATTTATCAAATCAGATAGATGCGGACGGGACCCTGGTGGTTGTTGACTCTGACTGACTCTACTTTCACACTGAAAACTGTTTCTGCACAAGACGTACTACGACATATCTCTGGGCTGCGTGGTGGCTCAGCTCCCGGTCTGGACGAGGTCTCGGCTGATTTACTCAAACAAAACGCACTCATAATTTACATTCCGCTGCTACACCTAATCAATTTATCTCTACTGACTGGTATATTCCCGGCTCAATTTAAAACAGCAAAAGTTATTCCTTTATTCAAAACAGGTGATCCAAAAGATAAAAACTATTTTAGGCAAATCTCACTGTTAAGCGTATTTTCCAAGGTTTTGGAGCGTATTGTTAAGGAACACCTGGAGTGGAGTACCTTCAAAGTAACAATACACTAATTCACAATTTGGGTTCAGAAAAGATAAAAACATCTCTGATGCACTTTTTGAAGTTTGTAAATATATAAATAATTAAATGATTAATAACAATCGATCTATGCTAATGTTTTTAGATCTAAAAAAAGCATTTGACTCAATTGACAGAAATTTATTGCTAACAAAATGATTGGAACAAATCTGTGTCAGAGCCACTGCTCTCACATGGTTCAAAAACTATTTATCTGACAGACATCAAGTAGTTTCCATCTGCGGTGTGAATAGTGATGCAAATTTAATTGAGTATGGGGTTATTCAAGGAAGTACTCTGGGGCCTATACTTTTTCTAATTTATATAAACAACATTTCTAAACTCAACCTAAATGGTGAACTGTTTTTATTTGCCAACGACACTTTAGTTTTGATAAAGGGTTGTTCATGGGAGGATGTCAGGTCCAAAGCTCTTGGTGACCTCTCAATTCTAAAGAAATGGTTAGATCAAAATGTGCTCTCACTTAATGTAACCAAGACTAAATTCCTTCCCATATCACTCAGTATCAGCACTGATTATAGTCTAAACAATTTGAAGATTCATTGCTGCAGCAACCATAACCGAGCAACCATAAGTTTATCTTGTAATTGTGAGTACATTGAAAGGGTAGATTATTATAAATATTTGGGTGTTTATTTTGACTACGGAATGAAATGGACAGAGCATGTAGATTTCTTGAAGAAAAAGATTTGTAAATATATCTATGCTTTTAACCAATTGAGTGAAATTTTAGATGAGGATGACATAAATCGCATATGTGCAATCCTTGATTTCATTTGGAATTATTTGCTGGGGAGCATGCTATCACACCACCTTGGAACCCTTGAATGTAATTCAAAGATCAATTTTGAAAGTTGCTTTTAGAAAAAATAAAAGGTACTCCACTGACATTCTATTCCGTGAGACGGGAATACTACCGGTCAGACATCTTTTCATCCAGTTCCTTCTTAATCACACATTCAAAAACTCAAACACGATTCTTACAGCAGTCACACATCAGCACTTCACAAGATACTCACACAATGTTAGAATATCTGTTCCTCAGCTACATAAATCAGTTCTAACTACCAACTGTTTTTATGTTGAAATCCTCTGTCAAAATTTAATTCAAAAATATGATATTCAACACGTTTTTAGTTTACCCTCATTACAGAAATTCAAAAGCCACATTCTTGTTTTACTGCACTCCATTACCAAAGGAGAGGCCGAGACTTTGATTAGACCAAACCATACTTGACTCTGACTAAAAATCCTCGACCCTTATACCCCCTCACCCTCCAAATGTCTTCTTTTGGAGACATTCTCAACAGCATTTCCGTTTTCTTTTAAATAATTAAGAAAAAAATTTCCCAAATTCAGTTTTTTGCCCTTAAAATTTTGCAGACTGATAACAACCAGGCCTACACACAGGCACCTGCCCATGTAGGCCTATCATCCCATAAGTATGGCAGATTCATCTGACAATAGTTGTACTACTGTAGTTAATCTTGCTCTCTGTTTTTATTTATCTTTCTGTAATAATATTGGGATAAATAAACGTATTTCATTTCATTTCTTTATACACAACCACAGCAATAGGGACAACACATGTGATGATTTCACCAGGTTTTGCCATTATCGTCTCCAGCGATTTGGTCAAATCCTTTGACTATTTTTGGGGATTCTAACCGTCACAGACCTTTTCCACACTCCGCACTGCTGGCCTTTACTGCTTTCTTCACCACTTCCAAGGTCGTGGACCTGTTTAAGTTTGCGATTTATGAGATGGATCCGTGAATTTGATTCATCGACCGAATTGTTTAAGATAAATGTTATTTGTTATAACTTATTTAGCTACGTAAATCAAATCTGTAAAATACTTTACCTAAGGGAGTACATATTATTTATGACTGTACCCATTTAATCAGTGGTTGTTTCCAAATTGCGACTTAAATGTTAGGGACTTAAGACTTTCTCTGTATCATCAGTGGTCATCATCCAAGTTTTGTAAAAATGTGTATTTTACGTCCTTATTTTGTAACCATCATGGCAACCCATAAGGCCAATGTTAAAATTTAAAAACTTTGAGTTACTTTTAAATTAATATAGGCATTATTAAAAATTAAAAAAAAATATTCGTCTAAAAAACCATCCAAAAATTTGACAAAACAACCTTGGTAAGTTTGGCTAAAATATGTTCAGCCATTATTGAGTTTATGTGTTCTAAAGTTTGCATTGAAGTTGATCCCAAAAAGCTTTGCTTCGCTCCACTCAATGAAGTAATTAAATACTACTTTTATTATTTTTGGAACATTGTGTTGGTATTCTAAAAATAATATATATTTATGGTAAGGGCAGCATTGTTTGGAAATATTTGAACCCCGGTATACTGTAGGACCAAAATCGGTGGGAACATTTCTAATATGGTACTGTGAACACTATCACTTACTAACAATGTAAATAAATTATATTTGTGAAGATTTTTTTATATTGCAACAGCTAGTCTCAGTAATCGACATTCTATAAGCTTATTAATATTCTTAAAAAAAAAAAAACAAATTGAACGATTCCTTGAAGAGACAGAAAACTATATTGAGACCTAAAAACGTGAATAAGCTGGCTTTAGGACTAAGTTACAATGATAACCAACACACAAAAAATATGCCAGATGTGATTTCTGTCCAAGAAATCTAGAAAAAGAAACCACCAAGAGGTGCTAATTATGGTAAAAGCATCTGCAAGGACCGTGAAGTAGAAACTTGTATTGGAGGGAAAATTTTGAAACGTATGTTTTAATGTCCCTGGCCTTTTATTTTGTAGATAGTGTATTTTGTAGTATATTTAAGATAAATAAAGGTAAGTTTGTGCTTTTGTAATTTTGGTGTGTCCACGACCGTACGTAGTCATTTCATGTAATAGACATGGTGTTAATTTTTGTTGATACTATATTTGAATTGCTGTATTAACCTAGAAATCCACTTTGCCCCCTCAAACATGAGGTGTAGGGCTGCCACTAGAACAGAGCCAAATAATACATGATTTCACGACCGGGGCATCACGACCATCACAGGTTTTTTTCACGACCAAAATAGTCTTATTAAGTACCGGTACTGTGTTATGGTCGTGAAAATAAAATTAATTAAATATCATTGTAAATGTCACAGTTTAGTTTAATTGCGACACAAATCTTTCTTATAACAGAACAATTAATTGAAGGATGTAAAAAAATTGAGATTTTGAACTATGTTTACATTGACAGGTATTTTTATTTCCTTATAAGGTAACGCTTGTATTGAGTATAGCGTTATATATAAAACTATTACATTTAAAAATAAATTATGGTTTATCAAGTCTCGTGGAATAGGCTATGATAAGAATAAGAGTAATGGAATAAAAAACCAATGAAATAGAAAAATTAAAAACGTTTTGAAAAAAAAATTATAATGTGCTATTCTTGAAAACCTAAGTTTTAAAATTTAGTCTTTTGGCTGTTTCAATGTCTAGACGCTTAGTTTTTCAATTGAGATTTTCTACATAATTGAGTGCATATTAGTTGACAATAAGGTTTGCAATGTGTTATGAATAAATTGCTAGTTGTTTTATTTATCAAATCCAATCAAACATGATGGGGAAATATTTTCTCCGTGCGAGCTCTCACATTATGTTGATAGGCGAAGGCTATCTGGGGTTAAAAGCAGTGGCGGATCCAGAGGGGGGGCGAAGGGTGCGACCCCCCCCCCCTTGGGCATACATATTTATATTTTTTTACTGCATGTAATACATTAGTGCATACAAATTGTGTAAAATAATTTGTCACACTTACTTTGACAAAGAAATGGTATAAAACTGCCATTTTGGAGACCCCAGGTCCGCCCCCCCTTGTTTGTAACCAATTTATCAAACTTCTATGTTGGTTTTCTGGTAATCTGGCTCTCTGTGTACTACTCTAACTCTTGATCTTGGTTTACCCAAGTAAAATTGACTGATTTCGGAGTAAAGTTGGATATCAACTTACCTCATCTTCTTCGATGCTGTTCATTCTTCAGCCTGAAAAGTATTCAATTAACTTAATTTAAAATGTACGGAATATAAAGCAAAATTTAAAACATAATACTGTAAGTAAAATAAGCTTAAGGTCAAGGCAAGTAAAGTAAGGTTTAAGCCTTATTGAGTTAATGGCCACAAATTTGCTGGATTTTTCAAAACCGGGACTCTTTTGAGTCCCAAGATGCCTCTTTGGAACACTTGGACATGGACAGTGAAATCAGTGACTCTAGCCTATGACAGCAACACTAGGCCCTACTGCAGACCCTTCCATGTAACAGTACACTAAAAAATTGGCCTAAGGTATTCTCATAGAAAATTAGGTAGCCTAAATATAGTAGCCTAATAAACTTAATGAATAAATGTGGGACTCATTAATCTTAAACTAGAGGTCGCCCCAGGGTCGAAAACTCTACCAAAATAGGTATTGAGTAAACTTCTCTACTTTCACCCAAGGCTATAAATAAAACATGTGATTGGAATTTATTCCATTTGTTTTGATTTTCTGTTTAGCCTATATTTTGTCACCAGTGGCGGCGATTGGGCTTGAGAGGTGGGGGGGGGGGGGGGCGAAATCTAGATTTATTGTTGACATAATTCTATTTTATAATTTTGATAAATATTCCTTGTGAAAGTGGGGGGGCAACTGCCCCCCCCTAAACGCCGCCTCTGTTTGTCACCATCATGGCAACCCGTTAAAAGGCCCATGTTAATCAAGTTTAAGTTTTAATTCAGTAAATATTTCCGAGGCCCAACTCACCTAAAACGTCTTAGGCCTAAGTTATAAGACGTTTTTAAACTGTTCCTAGACACCAACACTACAACTTTCTTAAATGACTTGTTTGTCGCCGAGGCTTCCTTTGACTCTACAATCGTATATAGGCTAATATCAAAAATAACCTCTACCATGGTGGAAATTTTGGGGTTTGGGTGAGGGAAAAACAAGCTTAAACATAAGTGACAGGTCAGTTCCTTTTCTTGACGCCACATCTAGATTACTAGACACCTCGCGTAGCCAAACCTAACCTAACCTAACCGTAATCTGGGTGTGGTGTTTAGTAATCTAGGTAATGGTGTCTAGTAATCTAGGTGAGGTGACGTAGGAGGTGCCTAGTATAAATTAATCAATGCCATCACATTAACGCAAGTTTTAGGGGCTGTAGCAGAGATGTCTGAGGGAAAACTTGCTTAAACATTGTGTTAAAGCAGTGCCATTACTAGACACCACACCTAGATTAGGTACTAAGACACCTCGCGTAGCCTAGCCTAACCATAATCTGGGTGTGGTGTCTAGTAATTTAGGTAATGGTGTCTAGTAATCTTGACAAGGTGTCTAGTAAAGAAATCTGCCCTATCACGGTGCGTTTAAGTGAGTTTTTCAGGCGTAGTGTCTAGTCTTCACGCCTCGACTAGCGTGGTGTCTAAGTTACAGGAAGCCTTGGTGACAAAAGTCATTTGAGAAAGTTGTAGGCCTAGTGTTGGTGTCTAGGAACAGTTAAAAAAAGTCTTTTAAGTGGTAGAACATTTTAGGTGAGTTGGGCGTCAGAAATAGTATAAGCCCCTTTAAACACTAGGCCTAATTTGAAAATAAGTTAATGAACCCTGCTTAGAAACACACAAACCGAAACCCTGGTCCTGTGAGACTCGGCTTTAAAATACATTAACGCTGGGCTTCTTAGACGGGCATGTTATGAACAGACAACCTGTCAAGGTCACGGCACCCACCAAAATGAACAAAAAATACCTATTAACAGGTAGGGGAGGAAAAGGTGGGAAGGTAAGTTATATTGGGGGAATGGAATCCCCCAAGTGGTAATTATTCCGTATAACTTACATGCCTCCAAACGAATTTATAATTTTGATATCTTACTTTGAGTTTTTTACCTCCTGAATCCAAATATACCATTATTTTTCACAGCTGATGAATATTTCTCACGATATCGCCGTAATAATATACAACATTACAATAAACAAGGTGGGTAGGATGGATGACATTTACAAGTGGAATGAACTATGGGTTAAGTAAACCAACCAGCTGATTGTTTTCAATCATAGTCAAGCAAATGGAAGTGACAACTTTAATTAGGCCCGTATTACACTATCATAGTTCTATGACATATATCTATTATCATATGTCTTTGATGAAAATTATTACAGTGTAATGTACCAACTATTATAATGGTTTTGAACTACGGTATGATAATATGTTCTCCTTGAGAGAACATATTATCATATATTTGATAATATAATATGTCATAGAACTATGATAGTGTAATACCGGCCTTAGCTAACTCTGATTCTGCAATATGAAAATCACCTGATTAAGTTGCACTTTTCACTTTCTAAGACCAATAAGTTAATAATGAATTATTGTTGCTTCAGCTCAGTGGTTGAAAATGCCTGCCTTTTCTATTTATTTGCAATAGTCATACCAGCGAACACATTAACTTATTATTATTATGTGCTCGCTGAGTCATACAGATGATATGAATGTAATCAATTTTGAGTAAACAATTTTACCAACATGTGTTTTTGAAAACTCCCGTGGGCCTGTCAGACCGGGGTTTGATATAAGTGTTAATTCATTTTGTGTTGCTAACTTATTTAACTTATGACTCTATTTTAATTTAGGCCTATAACTTAAAGGGGTTCTGCACATCTACAGGCAAATATATTTTTAACAGTAGCATTTCGGCTACAGTTTCTTAACTGGGCTATGCTAATATTGATTGAAACTATCGATTCGATAAGTAAACCTTCATGCGATTTTTTCACCATCAGCAAGTTTGGTTGGTTAGGTTAGGTTATGATAGTTTTATTTTAAAATAGATATATTTAAAAATATCGATTATTAATCAATATTTTCAATTCGATAGTTTCAATCAATATTAGCATAGCCCAGTTAAGAAACTGTACCCGAACCTGGGATGCAGACAAGCTGAGAAAGAATAAACATGCTTGACTAATAAGATAATGGAAAAATTGATTAGGCTACTTACCTTGGGAGTAACTTGTCGGCCTAGGAGTAATAATCACCAGTAACAACAACTAACAATGAAGGGCTAAGAAAGGTTTAGTGTATCTTAGTGTGTGAGTGTGTCACAAGATTCTTGGGTAAAATTCACATTAAAGAAGGCTATTTTTTTTAACAATAACTTAGCCTATATGACATGTTCAAAGAATATATTAAGCTAATGTTAAATGTTACAAATGAAATAATAAACCCTAGGTCTATCCTTCCAAAACCAGGCCTATCACAACAAGAACAAACTAAATGTACTGCCTGTCAACTGTAAAGTTTCATTCTACATTCTAATTTTAAATTGCCATTTATACTAATAACTTGTATTTAGCTATCTTAAAATACATGTTTGTATTGAATAATTAATTATTTGTGTGACTTTGTTGACTTTTACGTCTGTCTGTATGTGTATACCCTATCTCTCTGTATGACCAGTGTTGCCACACAGCTCCGGAAGAAATCCGTCCTCACAAGTAATCCGCGCACAATACGTTTAAAATACGTGCACAATCCGCGCACTCTGTAAATTAACCTGAGTCTAATAATATAGTGCTAGAAAACAAGTTTTCGTCACTCCTTAACGAAAGTAACTATTTTCGATAACAGCTGATATCAATGAAAGTAGTCGTTTCCCAAGCTCTAATTTAGGGCGAGGGAAAATCGATCAGCTGATTTTCCCTCGCTCTAAATTTACTTTTCCTCGCTCTCAATTAGTTCTCCATTTATTCACTACGCGCGCCAGTGTTTTGTTACGGTTTAATTTAATGATTTTAATCAGCTGTATGTATTTTTAAAAGTTGTGTTATTCTGTTATTTTGATGTTTAAACAAAATTTATTGAGAAATATACGTAGGTTTCTTTTTAGAAGATTTTATTTTATTTTGATGTTCAATCAAATTAATTGAGAAATCAAATTGTTTTAATATACTGAGGTCTGCTATTCTGTGTTAGTGTATTTTTGCGTCGTGATGAAAAGTATCGTTCATAACTCGTACCGAAAGTTATTATCCGGCACTTGCTCCATTATTCCCGTCCTCGGCTTCGCCTCGTACGTGAAAATAGCTCTCACATACTCGGCTTCGCCTCGCACGTGAAATTGGGGTTCCCTGTGTTCGGCTTCGCCTCACAAAAAAACTTGGGCGCGCGACGGAAAATGCCACTTTCGGTCCTAGTAATGAAATATACTATTTCCAATAATTTTATCACCTATAACGAAATGTAATACTCAAAATATGTTACAGGATGTTTTACACTTACCGTATGTGTGCTTTCAATATTGATTGAACAGATACCAAAAAGTATTCAGTGAAAAAAATGAAAATATAATGCTTTTGCACTAATACGAAAATTTAATAAATTACATAATATTCAATTAAACTAAACTAATTTTTTTGTAGCCGTTCAATCAATATTGAAAGCATAAGTCATAAGTCATAAGTCATTTATTTAGCCAAATTACCAAATACAATCAGCGTTAGCCATGTCAAAATAAACTAAAATACAAAACTTCTTATGTAGTACATTTTTATAACTATTTACAAGCGGTTTGACTACCAGCCAAAAAATCCCGGACGCTGTAGTAAACCCCATTCAAGAGCAGTCTCTTCACTGCTCGTTTGAAAGTCTGGTGATCCTGCTCGGTCTTCAACCCCAGAGGAAGGCTATTGTACAGCTTTGTAGCGTTGTACTGAAAATGATGTTGGAAGAATGAAGTGGAGTGCTTGGGGATGGGAATGTTGTTAGTGTTTCGAAGAGAATACTGGTGACAAGAAGCAACATCAAACATTTCAAGATTCTTTTTTACAAACGACAGCGTCTCCAAAATGTACAAAGAGGGAAATGGTAAAATTGTATACTGCCTAAAAAGGTACGTTTTGCCTGAAGCGACAGGTGCGACGGTCGCTAAGCGACTGTCGCCGAGCGGCAGTCGCGGGGTGGTAGACTGTTTTGCTTGGAGCGACAACTTCTTTGGCGTCACGAGACGTGGTACCGTCAGTGCACCTAACCTCAAAAGTGCGCACTAAGTATAAAGTCACTAAATAAAATCGATAAATTCACTTAGTAAAACTGGTAAAACTTAACAAATGAAGTATTCCTTGTAGGCCTAGTTATTTGTTATAAGAAACATTCCAAAACTGCCATGTCACAAGCCAAAATGTAATAAAATTACTCAATTTCTCCGTAAATTGCAGTACACAAGCATAACTTGAATTGGAAATCAGTGTTATAAACAACCTCCTCACAGAGTGAAAATTATATTTTATTGATTGTATTGTAAATGAATAAAATACCAATTACATGATATACTCCATTAATATTTGAATAACCACATCACTTTAATAATTGGCATTCTATATATTTAAATATGACACGCCTGACTTTTAAACCAATTTGATCAGTGCCGGATTTAGGGTACTTGCGGCCCTAGGCCAAATTACTTGAGCGGCCCTCCCCCTGTGGTGAAAATTCCTTGCGATCGTGAAAGTAATAGTGACTATCTCCTATACATCAAGGGGACATCATCATCGACACCCGTGATCCTGGATGAAATCGTGGACCTCCTAAACCAAGTAAAAGCCATCATAGTTATCCGGGACCGCAGTAAAATCGTGAACATCTCCCGCGGGCCACAATCACGTGAACATCATCATCGACACTTGCGATCGCGGCCAATTCGTGTTAAAAACATCTCCCGTGGACTGCGATCATGAGGACTTCATCATTGTCACCCGCGTCCATGCCGAAATCGTAAACATCCTCCTCCGTAAGCCACCACGGGGACATCCACATTGACACCCCCAGCCGCGGCGAAATCGTTAACATCTCCCGTGGGCCGCAATCACGGGGATGCATCACCGACACTCGCGGCCGTGGGGAAATCATGAACATCTGCCGCGGACCGCAATCACGGGGACATCATCATCGACACTTGTGACCGCGGCGAAATCGTGAACATCTCCCGCACACGGGCCGCAATCACGGGGACATCATCATTGACAACTCGATACAGCATCTACTTGTGAACGTCTCCTGTGGGCTGCGATCATAAGGACACATCCCCGTCACCCGCGGCCGCGGCTAAATCATGAACGTCTCCCGCGGGCCGCAATCACGGGACATCATCACAGGCACCCGAGGCCGCGGCAAAATCGTGAACATCTCCCTCGGTCCACGGAGACATCATTATGGTCACCTGTGATCGTGGCAAACTGGTGGTTTAAAATAAATTATTTTTTTTAAATGTTATATAAAAAAAATGTTTTTCCCAATCCTCTGCGGCCCCCTTTTGCTTGCGGCCCTAGGCCGCGGCCTAATCGGCCTAGTGGTAAATACGGCACTGAATTTGATCAATAACCATTTATACAGAGCAATATTTGTTTGAATCACCTAAACGAAAATTTAATTAGAGTCTTTTAAGTCGACAATCTAAATAATCTACTAAAAATTTAACTTAATCACAGCCGTTGGCCGACGCCATATAGCGAAAATAAAAGGTTCCCGAACTTGCCATAATGGTGTAGACTATAAAAACAATCAGAAATGTAACTGGGTAACTGTCGCTAGTGTCGCTAAGCGACTGTCGCTCCTGACTGGTCTTGGAGCAGTACCCAGCGACTGCAGCTCGCGGCTCTAGCGACAGTAGCTCCAAGCAAAACAGGACTATGCAAAACCCCTTTGATCAGTGTCCCGCGACTGCCACTCAGCCCGCGCGACCGTCGCACCTGTCGCTTCAGGCAAAACGTACCTTAAAGATATCCCTGCAAGATTGTTTTTTTGAGAGGGAGAAGATTACTCTTATAGCCTTCTTTTGGAGACGAAACAATAGCAGAGTCCTTTGGTTTTCACTTCCCCAGACAGATACAGCATATGATAGATATGGAAATACTATGCCATAGTACGCTGACAGAAGTACCTAAATACCAGTCTTTTGTTTCAGAGTTCGAAGAACAAAAACCCCAGTGGAGACTTTACTGGTTACACTTTCAATGTGATGGCGAAAGTTAAGATTTTCGTCTAATATCAAACCAAGAAACTTAACATTTTGGGACGAGGTCACAACTTTGTCTTCTAGAAGAATGTTAAGACCACAGTTGTTTGCTGACGATGACCTATTTGACATGCGAAAGTTCAACATTTGAGTTTTCTCTGCATTTAAAATCAGCTGATTTTCATAACACCATTGCAGAAGACTATTTGACTCTAAAAATGCCTTTAGTTCCAAGGATTCCATAGATGCACTGGAAAGAGTGAGGGACGTGTCATCGGCAAATAGGCAAGTCTTAGATAAGCTGACACTTTTAGGTAGGCTGTTAATGAAGATAAGGAACAACGTGGGACCCAATACGAACCCTTGGGGCACTCCTCTCTTGATCAGAGCTGTAGGCGAAGCATTCCTTTTCAGATAACCAACCCCATCAACGTTGGGTATGGAAACAAACTGTTTTCTCTCAGTCAAATAGGAAGCAAACCAATCAAGTGCCACTCCTCTGATTCCCAAGTTGCACATCCTTGTCAAAAGTAATTCATGGTTTACCATATCAAAAGCACATAATATGTATATTATACGGTAAGTGTAAACCTCCTGTAACATATTTTGAGTTTACATTTCGTTATAGGTGAAAAAATGTAATGTAAAACTTGTTTTCTAGTACTGTACTATATTATTAGACTCAGGTTAATTTACAGTGTGCGCGGATTGTGTACGTATTTTTAACGTATTGTGCGCGGATTAGAGAGGAAAAAGCGGGATTTTTATGCTAGTGAGGACGGATTTCTTCCGGAGCTGTGTGGCAACACTGCACATACACATCTGACATCATAGTTGAGTGAGAGGTTATTTTGTTTTAGGTTAAGTTAAATCAAATAAACCGGAAACCGGCTTGATTTGCATTGCAAATTTGCAACCCAAAATCGTGAGTTCTATCATTAATAAAAATTAGAATACAAACAGAATATCTTGAAAAGTAAAGAGTTAACATTTCATCATGTCAGGAAATGAGAAACCTATGATTTACGTGAGAAAGCAGGTAATTACAAGTCTTGCATTGGTATCTCACAGGCCTAGGCTTACTAATAAGAAAATTAGACTTGGCCTAGCCCTAGGTTATCTATACAGGGTTAGGCAAAAGTCTGGTTAACTTTTTAACGCGTTGCAGTAGGAAAACCAAACTCGGCACATATTTACAACATAAGAAATTGCACTTTTTCATCAAAGTTATTACAACTTTGATCCAGCCCCCAAAATGGGATATTTTGG